GGTCTGGGGGCACCATCTCGAAGTCTCCGGGGGCACCATTCCAAGTTTCCAGCGGCACTTTTCCGAAATCCGAGGTCTGAAGGAGCATTCTCCCCGGGTCTGAGGGGGCACCATCTCGAAGTCTCAGGGGCACCATCCCAAGGTCTCAGGGGCACCATCCCGAGGTCTCAGGGGCACCATCCCGAGGTCTCAGGGGCCGTTTGATCCGCGCCGTCCTGGGGGGAGTTTTTACGCCCCCCCCCCTAGGTTTTTCGCGAATATCTAAAAAACGGCGACGCGTAGCGCCGCTGTTCTAGATACACCCGCTCCGACATCTTTTTCGCACATGCTATGAAAATTTCAGATCCCGGTCATTCAAGGTCAGGTCACCAGGTACCGTTAAGTGACCTTACCTCAGAAAAAGTTAGAAAGCTCGCTGTGGCTACACCGACTGAGCGATCACTTTTAAACTTTCAGTACTTGCTTAGGGTAACAGTATGTATAAAATGGGTATCTCGGATTTTTTTCTATATCTGTGAGTTGTGACCTAAGGTCAGTTCAATTTTACGACTGCTCCATATAAATCAATGGGAGAAAATTGAAATGAGCCTCTTTTGGCCGAATGTCGTTCTACACCCTCTCAAACATCGGTTCATATGTAATGTAAACATGACACTCTGAATCGGGAAATTGCTCCTGTGCCCCCTTTGAGTGCCCATGAGGTCATCTCAGGTCATGAAAGGTCTTCAGTAGTTTTTTTTTTACTATAACTTTTGATTTGACAGAGACGTGCTAGAGCGGTGAAAACACGGGGACTAAACCGTTGATCTGAGGTCAAATTTGAAGTCAATCAGAGCGGTGACCTCTGGGGGCTAAACCGTTGATCTGAGGTCAAATTTGAGGATATGTTGGCGAAAGAGCGTTAAAAGAGCTATCGAATGCGCTTTTCCACGGCGCTGTAGCTCTATTGGTTCCAGAGTTAGTCGTCGGGTGTTTAAAATCGTTGAAATCGACAAAATTTGACCTTTGATGAACTCTGGTGACCTGACCTTTGCCCTGACCTTAAAATCACCGAGCGTTTTCCTTCTTATTTTTGACGCTCTTTCGATTGCCGCTTACCGCGTGTCGCAACGTGGCCCAGGAGCTGAGTTAGACGGAGGGGCGTGAAAGCACTCGACGGAAAGTTCATGCCATCAGCACGGCTCGGGTGAATTGTTATGTTAGCTAGCTCCTGTTGTAAGCTGTGGAGTCGTGGAGCTGATCTTGAAGGAACTGGCCCTGGGCCTAACATTTTCATAGCAAACGTAAAAAAAAAAATGTTTAATAGGTGATGCAAAAAATAGCATCTCTTTTATGAAATATTTGCGAAACCCTCAACATCATCCCCATTAGTGCAGAGCTGCCAACGACGACCATAAAAACGTCCCCATCCCGTCAGCGTTTGTTTATCATAAGAATGCTAAGATTTAATTTCCAATCCGAAGCTGAAATGATGGAAAGCAAATTTACATTTTACATACGAAACAAGCTGACACATTTAAATATTTTCTCTCTCGCTCCCCCTCACTGATTTACCCATTACCCTCTCTCATTTTACCCTCCCTGGTTTTCCTTTTCTGTCTCTGTTTTCTCTCCTCCCGTCCTTATCCCTTCCCTCCAGTCTTTCTTCTTTCTTTCTCTCTCTCTCTCTCTCTCTCTCTCTCTCTCTCTCTCTCTCTCTCTCTCTCTCTCTCTCTCTCTCTCTCTCTCTCTCTCTCTCTCTCTCTCTCTCTATCTCTCTCCCTTTCTCCTTCTCTCTCCCTTTCTCTCCCTCTCTCTCTCTCTCTCTCATTCCCCCTCTATCTCTCTCCCTTTCTCCTTCTCTCTCCCTCTCCCTCCCTCTCTCCCTCTCCCTCTCTCCCTCTCCCTCTCTCCCTCTCCCTCCCTCCCTCTCCCTCTCCCTCTCTCTCCTCTCTCTCTCTTTCTCTCTCTCTTTTCTCACAATATTCTCGACTGCCACAGCGCTGTAGAACTTGTTTCCAGACAGGTCCAGGCGCTCCCCACTCCGCAGGCCCCAGCCCACACGGCCCAACCGCCCAAACACCCTCCGGCGGATGACCTCTGACCTCGGCGACCTGACCCCAGCCGACCGATCGCGTCCCTCTCCACGCCTCCGCCCCGCTTCCCCCACTACAACTGCGTAGTAATTGTAGCGTGTGCAAAGGTCACGTGACATTATTTACTTCTGCGGTTTGTTCGGCTGACAAGAGATGGCACTAGTGGTCTGTGGATCAGAGGCGGGGCTAGGTTGTACGACTTCTTGGGGCAACTTTAGGGCAGAAAAGACGTTTTTTGGCTCCTCATCCCAAAATGCTTCGAACATACAAAAACAAGTTAGATATTCGAAAATCGGAGGACCAAACTGATCGTTTGACGTATCTTGCTCGACTGAGAATTGATCGGTCTTCAAACTACTGAGCAAAAACGAGGTGATTAGTAGCAAGTGCTGGTGACTGTACCTATTGGCGCGGTTTCCGGGGATTCGTCGACAGAATGGTTGAGTGGAAGCTTGCTATTTGCTAACATTTCCATGGAAACCGAGCGCCATTACCTGGTGGCGTCATGGGTCAGCGTCCGGTGCACCGTGACGACGTGCTGTTCAACGGGACCCGGGATGCTGAGCTGATAATGAGCTGGTTGTTTGAAAGGTCATGCGAGCTCATGAGGCAAGTAATAAATTGTTGCTCAGTAGTTTTAGTAGTACAAGTCGGCATCATGCGGGGCTGATGTATTTATCTCGCTGGATACTGCGACGCCTTGACTGACAGGCAACAGGACCCTTTTGGGTCAGGTGATGACCACCTTCCAGGCGGTGGGGGGCATTTTTTTGCCCCCCCCCCTTTAGTTTTTTCAATATATCTCGAGAACCGCTGCGCCGATCGTCACCAAACTTTCAGTACCCTCCCGGGAGCAGCTAGCGCACATGGTGACCCAATTTTTTTCCAAAGGCTATAATAGGTTGGGCGCTAATGACGTCAGAGTGACGTCATTTTTGCCATTTTCGACCCAAAAAAGGTTTCGAGGGAAGAGCTGTCAGGCCTACAGCTTTAGAGATACAGAAAAATGTTTCAGACATAAAAGGTGTGGAATCAAAAGGGCTACAAAACTGCCATTTCGGTTTTTCGATTTTTTTTTGGATTTTGACCCCCAAAAATCAAAAAATAGATTTTTTGAATATAATAGCCAAAAAATCCAAAAAGTTTTTTGAATTTCGAAAAAATCGGAATATATGTGATAGTCCCTACCGCCTTCTATCTACATACCAAATTTGAGATCGATACCTCTTTTTTGGCCAAGTTATAGCGAAAAAACTGTTCAAAATTGATGACGTCAAATTTTCAAACTCAATATTTAGCAACTCTAGACCTCGTAGCGCAAAACAAAGACCACCATTAGAGTCCCCGTGACGAGCTGCATCGAATCGATACCCAATTTATGCAAAAATATCAACTTTGAAATTTGACCTTTTTTGACCTGACCTTGACCTGACCTCCACCAGAAAGTGACCTAAACCGTACCTGATGGTCTTATAACCAACAACATTGAGTTGGAAATGAAAAACTGGCCATAAAACATGCATCGCATAACCTTAGTAAAGTTGGGCTCATGTGGTGACCCTTGGTGACCTTTGGTGACCTGACCTGTGACCTGACCTGGTATGACCAGTGACCTTTAATAGCAACATATGTACTAGACAACTGACGCCTTATCGCTGATTTTCGACAAAATGCGTTTTACTCGGTGTTATAGCGCTTTCCCTAGAAGCCCCGTGAACGGTGAAACATTTTATCTTTGACCTGACCTGTGACGTCATCGGTGACCCCGAGGTCAATGAAATTTGGTTTCCTTCGACACATTTGACAGGGCTATCGAACGCCGTTTGAATTTTCCGGATCCGTCCAGTAGTTTCGGAGATACGGGGGGGGGGGGGGCAAAAAAGCCCCCCCCCCTCCCCCACCGCGCGGAAGGTGGCTGGTAGGCCCACCGCCTGCCGGGTTAACCTGAGGCAGTCTCGTGGAGTTTTATATAAAGAACTTTAATAGGTAAGGTATCACGCGTTTTTGTTTGAATTTGGAGTGAATATGAGTACTGACTGATAGCCTTCGAGTAGAGTCCCGGATTCGTCGAACTGAGAATGACGTCACGCAGATGGGCCAAGACTAACCCCGCGTTCGATGTCTCTCGGACGACGAAGATTCTACGTCGTCCGGCTAATCCTGTTCAAGGTCAGCGGGGGCTCGGCTGCGGTTATGGAACGTGATTGGCCGGACGACGTAGAATCCTCGTCCGAGACATCAAACGCGGGGTAAGTACTTGTGGGACTGGCTACGCTAAAAGGCGCGTGCGAGTCCCGCTTCCACGGAAGCTAAAAAAAAAAAAAAAAAATGGTGCTTCTCCGCCCATGAATCTCATGGACCTCTTAACCTCCAACACCTTCGTCATTAACGTGAGAAGACGTGACTGAGTGCGATGTGGCCCATGTCCAGAGATCAAATGATTAAAGGTCACAGGGCCCGTGTCGTCAATCCACTTCAAAGCTGAAGGCATCCGGCATGTCCGGCCGAAAGGTCAGGCCAGCTGACGATTCTCATCCAGTGTTGATAAACCCGCAGTGCACAAAATTGTTGCTCTTTGTACTCACAAATTCATCACTGTCACATCCAGCGGTATCCTTTCAACAGGTCTCTCGAGAAAGCTAAGCTCTGTTGAGATGGACCGTAAATGTACAGTATCGTGCTCTCCACTCTGCCTCAGAGTTGTGCCAGAGAACCAGCCCGAACAACTGGAGGAGCTGATTAATGACTTGGAAGCAATGAAAGGGCGTTCCAGAAACGACGCGATAGGGGTCCAACGCCAGCCACTGTGTTGATACAGAGCTTAGACTGGTGCTTGATAATGCCCATGACTAGTTTATCATGATGGCTGGCGACTTCAGCGAACACTAGATCGATTACTGTTTTACCGTAACGTTTATTTCCCGTAGGAACACAAGATCGAAGATCGCCATTTTCTCGAGTGTCAGTGGGATGAGGCGGTTACCTTGACCTGACTGCCTACGTCTGGGCGCCGCCGGCCGGCCCGTGAGATCAATAGATGACACTGTTGCTGGATCGGGCGGCCGACGGCGCGGCGGTCAGTACTGCGCTCCGCCCGCAGCCGACCAGAACGGACATCTCCGCCGGCCGCAGCGGACATCTCCACCGGGGTACCGCGGCAGCGCGCTGCCGGTGCGGTCACCACTGCGGACTCCAGGGCGGAATTTCAGCCTGGCTGCCGAACTGATCCTGCATCTCGCTTCAGACTGCCGAGAAGTTTTGTTTCCAGCGAACGAGACAAGCCGTTCTCAGTCTCTCAGCCCAACCGCGGATCTATCGCAGGTCGACACTGCTCCGCACCATCCGCTCGGTTGCCGCGGGCAATTTAGACAAGAGCCGGTGTCGCTGAGCTGGGATGGCGCCCGAAACGGACAAAATGAAGTCCTGCCAGTGTTTTACAGGTCAGTTATCCACGGCTCTATCTCAGCCGAGCCGTAAATGGAACTTCAAAAGAGCAGCGATTGGAGTTGAGCTGCCGTTTGGATAACGCTAAAATGAAAGATCTTTTGTATCCAGTGCTTCGTTTTCCGTTCGTGGCGTTGCAGTGATAGTGGTTCACTGCAGTGATGTGCTTGACTTAATTATATTTGAAAAACCTTATATGGGCTTCCGTATCACGGGTCAAGGGCAAGGGAGGGGTGGGGGGGGGCGTAATTTATGTCCTTTCTTATATTGCTAGGATAACGCCATGACCGTGTCATAGCTTGTCATTGTCATGAGCTTTTGCATGCATTATGCCTACTTATTTTAAAAATCGAGTAATTCGAACTTAAAAAAAAAACTGACAACAATCTTCTAGTAACTTGGATCGTTGATGTTACCTTTATCGCATTTATTAAAAAGGCGGCTTGCTCAGGGCTTATGTTTGTCATCCATCCCGTCTCTACGAGCATCTGTCAAAGTTTAACATGAGGAATATTATTTACCTCCTTCTCTCTTGAGGATCGCGAAGGGATGATCAATCTAAATTTTAACTGCATAGACGCTTTTTGGGGCAGCAAATAAGCAAGCGCGAGGGGAGCCCTGCACATGCGGAAATGCGAGGGGGTAGCCCCAACTTAATTGTGCACGGCACCCTACTAACCGGCTCCTAACGTACCAAAATTGAGCACAATCGGCCCAGCCGTTAAGATAAGAAAGAGACGTCCTGCACGTGCGCACGTGCAAACTGGGTCTCAACTGACTTTTGCCCGGCATTCTCATAACCAGGCACCAGCCCCTATCATGTGCCAAACTTGAGCGCAATCGGCCCAGCCGTTCTCGATATATAGAGCTTGAAAGTGACCCATGCATGTGCACTTGCAGTTGCACCCTACCGGAGACGCATGCAAATGCATTGCCTAATACCTACACACAATAATTATGCTAAGTTCGGCGCAATCGACCCAGCGATTACCCAGTTACTGTAATAGTTACAAAACAGATGACTTCATTTTGCACGTGCAGTGGGGGGTCACCCACAGGCCACCTTCATTCCAAATAGTCTAATACTTGATTGAAAGGATGAAGCTACCTTACAAAAAAGACCAAGCGAATCGGCCCAGAGCAGTGCATGGTTGCTGGGATATAAACGTGACGTGATAAGTAAACTTGGGATAAAGCGTGACCATCAGCTGACCGCGTATGCTCATATTTTTTTTCGAAAGGCCAATTCGCTCGCTTACTCGAAATGAAATAAGATAAAATAACATAAAAGTAAACATTTCGAAACATTTTTAAGCTTTCTCGATAACCCGGCAGTTGCTGGGGTATTTCGCCACCCACCGTTTGCTGGGGGGGGGGGCGTTAAACGCCCCCAGCCGATAACTCGAGAACCAATAGGCGCAGCGAAACGCACGAGGCGGCAAACGAAAGAACGCGACGAGACGCTTCAGATGAGCACTTTAAAGTTGAATTTTGAGGTCACAGGTCGGGTCAAGGTCATGTCAAACACCTGAAATCGGGCTTTCAGTAGCACGGACTTCAGGACTTCGTAATGGGCGCCTCTCGTCATAAACTCTGTCAAAACGGTGCACAATCCATCATATAAGGCCTACAAGAGTGTCAGCTTCATGTAGGGGTCAGTCAAACATAGGTCAGGGTCTAGGTCAGGTCAACCGGGTAGGCACATATCCCCGAAAATCAAAACTGATATTCGCAGCCTGTGACACTTGTTTTATGGGTGATTTGGGGCGTAGAACACGATGGTGGCATTCATTTTATCATATGTGTACGTGTTTGGCTCAAAAAGTTAAATTCAAGAAATGCATGTATCATGGTCGTGAAGTAGTCACGAGAAATTGCCAAGATTCAGTTCAATATTTTGGGAAATGAGGAACGATAATCAATAATCGAAGATAGCCATTTGATTGTTCATGGTATTGGCAGTCTAATGGCGTTTGCGGCATGTCTGTATGTCTATTCTGTGATTTTATGATTTTTTGAACATATGCCGTTTTTGGTCGAAAACTCAGAAATTATGAAGTCACTAAAACCTCGATATCTCAAAAATTTTCCAACCGATTTTTTTTTTTTGAAACTTTGTCACAATAAACTTCAATCAATTCTCTACAGGTACCCAAAATTTGGCGCGCCTGCGGCGCGCCGTTTTAATGCTATGGCCCGGCGAAAAAGTGGGGGCGTTTAACGCCCCCCCCCCAGCAACTCGCGGGTTAACCCAACGTGATATCTGAATTTGAGTTATAATTTACGTTTCCACTTGACGACGTTTTGCTGTTTTCTGTTATAATTTTGTCTTTTGTAATTTTCAAGTTGCAATGTTGGCTACAGCATCCAGGCCCTTTTGCGCCATGTCGTAGCTCTACAGCCTTGGTCATACCTGCCAAAAAAACAGACTAGGGGAGAGTGGGGCAAAACGGCCACCCCAACGCTTCTTACGCTGCCGACGCTCCACTTTTTTAACCCTCGCTTCGTTGGGGGTCAATTCCCCCCCCCCCCTCTGTGGTTTTTCCTGAATAGCAGGAAAACGGCGCCGCACAGCGCCGCCAAATTTTTACTACCTTCCTGCGCATCACTTTGACACCTTCACACAAAATTTCAAGTCATGGGTCACCTTAGGTCAGGAGTTACTGAGGTCAAACTGAGGTCATGTTCAAGCAAAAATGAGCAAAAACATGAAATCTTGAAACGCTCACAAAAGCTGCAGTTACCAAGCAATTTCAAAGTTTTTTTTTACATGTTTATATAGATAAAAAACGGCGTTACAAAACTGCTATTTCGGATTTTCAAAGTTTTGGGATTTTGACCCCTAAAAATTAAAACGTTGATTTCTTTTAGGAAATGCCAAAAAAAAAAATCCCAAAAGTTTTTCGAATTTCGATAAAAGGGAATATATCTGATAACTGATAACTGTGATATGCGGAATATACCGCATATCACAGTTATCAGTTATCAGTTATCAGGTATGTGATAATCCCTATGCTCTTCTATCTAGGTACAGGTCTCGCGGGTTTTAGCGGTAGGTTTTGCACCTAGAAAATTTAGTGTACTTCAGGCTACATCTTCGTCGTCTTAAGCTTTTAAGTGTTGAAGATGCGATCGACTTGTTGGGTAACAAGCCGGCCATGATCGTGTTAAATGGCTTCACCGTAGATCGATTAGTTTCTGAGATATAACCGGAAATGTAGAAGTGCAAAACCTACCGCTTAATCTCGCGAGACCTGAACATACCAAATTTTAGATCGATACCTCCTATTTTGGCCAAGTTATAGCGAAAACACTGTTCAAAATTGATGACGTCAAATTTTTTAACTCAATTTTTAGCAATTCTAGACTACGTAGCGCAAAGCAAAGGCCCATTGAACTCCCCATGACGAGCTGCATCGAATCGATGCCCATTGCCCATTTCATGCAAAAATATCAACTTCGAAATTTGACCTAATTTGACCTGAGCTTTTCCTGACCTTCACCAAAACATTATCTTAACTAGTCCCAAAGGCTACCTGACCCACATATTCGCATTTGGCATATAAAATGAACCATAAATCATGCATCACATGATATTTTCATATTGTGACCCTGTTTTCATATTGTCATATTGTTCATATTGTGACCTGACCTCTGTGACCTGACCTGGTATCAGTGACCTCAGCAAAATATGTGTTTGACAAACAACTCCTCATCGATGATTTTCAATGAAATGCATCTTACTCGATTTTAGAACGTATTTCTTGAAAAGTCTGTAAACGGTGAAAATTCGTCATTTGACCTGACCTATGACGTCATCGGTTTGACCTACGTCAATGAAATTGGGTCACAAGATAGTTCCCTGTTGGGGCTATCCAACACCGTTTGCTGCTTGTCGCTATGTTCCGTGGTTCCAGGGCGCTTTGCTCGGCAGACCCCAACGGGGTGCGGGTTTAACGTAGGTAATGAGATTCTTCTTATACCAATGTGAACCCTATTAAGTTTCCTTTCATTTCAACTCGTTTCATTTTCAAATGCATTCACATATGGGAGATATTGGTAAAACTTTAAACCTATGCATGTTGGCAACTTCGCCCTATACCCTAGGGCAAAGCAGCCATCGGCGACTTCGAAAGTCCCGATATGAGAAACGAATAGTTGAGGTGCCTCAGATACGACTGGGCATTTGATGGTGACAAGGTTTAACCCGCGCCCTGCTGGGGGGGGGGGGGGTGTTTGAACACCCCCCCTTGTGGTTTTTCGCGAATATCTCAAAAACGGCGGCGCGGAGCGCCGCCGTTTTTGGTACACCTTATCATACATCAATTCTACACATGTTGTGAAAATTTCAGACCAAGGTCATTCAAGGTCAGGTCACCAGGTCACTTGAAGTGACCTCACCTCATAAAAACTTTCAATGTCTGTCATAGCTACACCGAGTGACCGATCGCTTTGAAACTTTCAGCGATTGCTAAGGGCAATAGCATGTAGAAAATGTATATCTCAGAATTTTGATATCGATGACCTAAGGTCAGGTCAATTTTGCGACCTCGCCATTATAAGTCAATGGGAGAAAATTGAAATGCGCCTCTTTTGGATGCAAGACATTATAAACACTCCCAAACACCGAATTACAAGTGGTTTAGACACACGGAACATGAAAATGGTGTCCGTGACCCTTGTTTATGCCCTGAGGTCATCTTAGGTCACGAATGGTATCCAACAGTTTTTCGCAAATAACTTTTGATAGAGGCATGCTAGAGCGATGAAAACGCCTTAGATGTGTTCAGCTCGACGATACGGATCGACTGATATGCAACATGACCCTTTCCCGTCAGGTCATGACCTTGACCTGAGGTCAAAATTTCAAGTTGACCTTTCAAGGTCAAATTATAGTTCATTCGATGCGTCTTGACGAGAGGAACACGTTGCCGGTAAAAGTAAGCTCGTACAAGGCTTGGGTCAAAAGTTATTGCAGAAAAACTGTTTTCGAAAAAATCGGCTATTTTTGCAGTTTTTGCCCCCTGCAGGCAAAACCGTTGACGTTAGGTCAAATCTGAGAGAATTACTCAGAAAGGGCGTTAATAGGGCTATCGAATGCGCTTTTCCGCGGCGCTGTAGCTCTATTGGTTCCCGAGTTATGCGTTGGCTTCTTGGAAATTTTCGACATTCGACCTGTAAATCGGCGAAATTTTGCCTTCAATGACCTCTGGTGACCTGACCTTGGACCTGACCAAAAAATTGACCGAAGTGATTTCGTCATTATTTTCGACGCTCTTTCGAACGCCGCCTTCCGCGTATCGCTACGTGGCCCAGGAGCCGAGTTACAAGGGGGGGTGTTCAAACACCCCCCCCCAGCAGGGCGTGGAAATCCAGGACCCCCAGCCGGGCGCGGGTTAAACAAGGATGGATGTTTAACCCGCGCCCCACACTGGGGGGGGGGCTATTCATAGCCCCCCTCCCGTTTTTCTGCAATAACTTCTAAATCGCTTGACATATCGCCGCCAAACTTTGAGACCCTTCGGCTGCATCAATTTGACACCTTGTGTCAAAATTTGAACTTCGTATCTATCATAGGTCGGCCGGAAATGACGTCAGAGTGACGTCATGTTCGGCCGATTTCGACGCAAAACATTGAACCACGGGAATCGCTCCCAAGAGCTCAGTGTTTGAGCTAGATCCAATGTCTTTGCATGAGGGGACTCAGAATGAGCTGCGCTATCAAACTACTATCTCGAATTTTCAAAATTTTGTTGCGTCCGGTCACCACCAGGGCGCGCGCAGCGTCGGGCCGGTGAAACAGAAGCCGGGTATCTATGTAGTTGCCAGGCTGATTTGATCCCTCATAGTCGAAAGGTGGGCTACTAGAACCGAAAATTGACTTGTTTGTAAATGAATGAGCGATTTGATGCCCAGATTCGCCTGGATTACAACTTTTAAAAATATTTTGAAGGCAAAAGACTTTAGTTGTAAGGATTCTAAGGCCTTAAAGGGTTGGTACTTTCTATCAAATAGGTTCCACCGCGAAAGTTCCGTCGTGAAAACGGCCAAAGTAGAATCACGTATAATGTTTTTTGTTACGTCTTGATTCCTTTGAAAATGAAGATGTTAGCGACGTTTGAAATTTTGCCGTTTTTTTTTTAGGCGAAAATGGCGAACATGACGTCACTAAAACGTCATTTTCTCAAAAAATTCCGACGGATTTCGCTCAAATTTTCAGGAAACGTTTTAAATTGATGTATGATAAAGTAATCAAAGTTTGACGTCGCGGGCGTAACGCGTTTAGAAGTTATTGGCGAAAAACGGGAGTGGGGCAGATTCTGCCCCCCAGCGGGGTGCGGGTTAAGGTGGGATGGTCACTTTAGCCTACCTAAATGCAGCCTGACCATTTTTGATCATTTTGTATGACCATGATTTTAATATAATTTAAGTCAGGCCAAAAGAGGTGTCATATAAAATGACAGCCTGTGCATTTTTTAGCGTAAGAAATTAGGTTTTCCGTGCATTTAATCTTGCTTCTCCATTTGACGGCCTTGCATTCGACATTTATGCCTTGGCTTTTGAATATTGAGTTCGCTCATTTTTGACTTGCTTTTTTCCTTTTCAGCGGTGTCAAAACCGGTGAAAGAAGGCTACTTATTCAGGTATAAAAGTAAGTATATGTTTTTCATTGTTCGGTTACGTGCTTTTTCAAGTGTGCACGCTGGATTGGTCTGTATTTAGCACTCATATTTATCTGGGCTGTGTTACTCCGATGCAGTCTTGACGTGCACGCATATCCTGCAATTGTCAACATGAAAGCAAACACCTACCCATCTCTCGAAGATACATTACATATTGGCATAAGAACATTGATCATCCCATGCTCCAGGAGCGCTGCAGTTCATCGGTCTATGGGGTCTCAGGGCCTTTGGTGGCGGGTCAGCTGGTGAGCGGACGGGAGGCGCGTTAGATGAGCCGTGCCCGACCTCAACAGCCTGTTTATGACCGCGCTGCAGGAACTGGGCGCTCGGGGTCATCGGGGCCGCCTCGGGGCACATCACCCCGGGCCTGCGCCGCATCACTGCACACAGTCAATTCGGCTGCAGGCCTGATTGTCTGCAGAGTCTTGAGACTGTTTCAGACAGAAAGGCTGTTTTGCGAGGAATTTGTAGGTGAAGTTGTGGGTTTACTAGGCTCACCAAAGCGACGCAATTTGCTTGGCCAGTGAACTTCTACTCTGCTGGGAGCTGCTTGATTACTTGATAATTTACCTTTGCTTATATTGTAGTGCCATTGAAATGTAGTGACAGTGGCACGTTACGCTTGAGCGCTGTCATAGAACTTGCGATTTGTAATCTATTAGTCTTTCAGCCAATGGCTTACCACTATGAGGCATATTTTATTCTTCTTATGCATAATGTATTTTATTAGAAAAAATATGTAGTTTTGATATAGGGTGGGGAATATAGGGATGAATATTGAATAAGCTTTATCCAACGGAAAAGAACGTTGGTAATGATGTGTAAAAATGTGCGTCATTTCTAAATATTGTTTCAACCGCATCTCCTAGCAGTCCTAGCGATTTTCGATGGAAACTCTGCAGCAAAAAATATGCCCGAAAAAAGCGTCTCCCAGCCGACCTGGCGCTGCCGATTGTACAGCCCTCTGCAGACTGCGTGGTAGGTATTCTTTTTTTCGACAAAACCGAGAATAACGCGAATACTATGCTATCGGGCACTCGGAAATCGTAATAGCAATATGCGCGAGACTCCGCAGCTTAGATTGGCATTATCATCGTATGCATTTTCCATCCAGTTTGGAAACAAAACCCAAAAGTTAATATTTGCCCCCAAAACGAACTTTTACATTTTGTTGCCACACAAGACGAATGCTTTGTTTATTGATAGGCCCTATCGAAGGAGTGGAGCATGGCGCATCTATTTGCAGTGAGTTTCGACCGACTGATAACATGACTTTTGAATTATTATCAGTTTTGTCTGAAAAAGAATACCTACCACGCAGTCTGCTGAGGGCTGTACGTACCTTTGTCCTGTGAGGGTGCTGGCAGCGGCATTACGGACATCGCAAGTACCGGCACGACAGTGGCTCGCGATGATGACAAAAGGACAAGTGTAGAGAAGAGGGAGGCGTCGGTTGTCGAGCGAGCAGCCACAATGAAAGGGTGGGGGTGGGGGTGAGGGGGAGCTGACGAAGCAGCGGTGAAAAAAAAATGATAGATGTGCATATTGTGCAAGAGCTTTTTTTGCTCAGATGGAGAGGCGTTACCTGCTAAGCATTTTTAATCGAGCTCCTTCACCCAAACAATTATTACGATTAATGGGTCGAGTACCAATATTGATTTTTTTCATTCAAACATGGAGTTTGTTTCTCTTTTTGCCCGTAATGCTTTTATACAATACAACAATGAACACAATATACAGATAAATTAGGTACTAATGTCAGCAGATTGTTCCGCTAATAGGTACAGCATGCGCTGTGCTTAGATGCTTATATTCCAAACAACACGCGCAGAATTATAAGCAAGGACTGAACCGCGAGAAATGATCTTTTGAGGCCGTTTGGCGTTTATTTTGTCGGAATGTTCAGTGAGAGTAATCGTTTTTTTTTTTTTGCAAAACGGTCATGGTCGACCTTCACTTACATAGAGCACTAACGGCGAGACATTGATTTCGTTTTTGCACAGAGGAGTGTGAATTGACTGACGTTCGACTCGACCTGTGCCTTTCCCAGAGCGGTTTTTCGGCGCCAACTGGCGCGAGGAGTACGCCGTGCTGTATGAGGACAGCTCGCTGCTCTGGTACAAGTCTCGGGAGCGCCGGCAGCCGGAGGGCGCGCTGATGCTGCGCTGCGCCCCGGAGCTGATGGCTGTCGGCGTGTTCACGCGCGCCGTGCCGCGCCAGCCAGAGTTCCCCTGCGGCACGGACATCCGGCGGGTGATCGCGCTGGGCAGCAGCGCCACGCGCCGCGTCCAGTGGTTCATCTGCCACTCGGAGGACGACGCCAAGTGAGTAACGTGACAGACCGGCCAGGTCGGCGGGGTCCTGACCGGGACAGGGCTTACTGCCAAATTGGTACTTTGTAGTTATTGAATTGATGCCGGCTGCTCACGCTAGCATAGGCAGGTATTTGTAATTACCTACTAGTGATGTATTAGACAAGTTACTGATGCATTGAATACATGAACAACGATCCCTTGGCGCGGTGGTGACATTGGTTGGTGACACCATGGTTGATGGTGACACTAATGACACCGGTGGCGGTGCCCGTCGGCGGCCCATGGTGACACCAATGGCCGTGTCCGGCGGCGGCGGAGCCCACGCGTCTGCTCGTCGGCCGCCGACGCGTCGGCAGAGCGGCGGTGCTCCAATCGATAGCCGGGCCACTCGGGCCGCGCCGGCCGGCGAGCATCTGGCACGGCGCCCCGGCCTGGCGGTCGGCGGCACGGCGCGGCAATCAGCCGAGCCGGCCGCGGCGCCGCGAGCGGTCCGGCCGGCCGCTGAGCAGCCCGCGCCGGAAACCCACCAGCTCGGCAGATGAGCGGCCAAGGAAACCACCCGCTCAGCAGATAACGGCGCCGGAAACCGCACAGCGCCGCAGCCACGGCCGCCGACAAAAACCACCGATGAATGAACAAACAATGCATGGCAGCCGCATGGAGACGAGCAGACGGATCTCGCCATGGACATTTCACGCCTGAGTGCTCTTCAGCAGCGGAACGTGATGTAAGACGCGGATCGGCGCCCGATGGATATTTGATTATTTCATGCAATGATTTCCCGGGACCCGGAGTCCTTATTATATTTTATTCAATGATGTCCCGGGGCCCGGTCCTTATTATTGAATCAAACTCTCTCTCTCTCTCTCTCTCTCTCTCTCTCTCTCTCTCTCTCTCTCTCTCTCTCTCTCTCTCTCTCTCTCTCTCTCTCTCTCTCTCTCTCTCTCTCTCTCTCTCTCTCTCTCTCTCTCTCTCTCTCTCCTCTCTCTCTCTCCTCTCTCTCTCTCCTCTCTCTCTCTCTCTCGCTCTCGCTCCCGCTCCCGCTCTCGCTCTCGCTCTCGCTCTCGCTCTCGCTCTCGCTCTCGCTCTCTCTCTCTCTCTCTCTCTCTCTCTCTCTCTCTCTCTCTCTCTCTCTCTCTTTCTTCTCCCTCCCCCTCTCTCTATCTCTTCACCCTCCCCTCCCTCTCACTCTCTCTCTCTCATAAATCATGCAGACTGGTGCTGTAATTTTTGTTTCTACAAAGCAAACTTAATTTTTGACCAAATTGATTGGAAGGAAAACCGGCCCAGTGCTGATGGCGCCCTTGAGCTGATGTGGCAGATTCGCTTCTCGTGGATGCGTCATTGCTCGACAATCTACTGGGATATCGCCGATTCCCAGAGCTAAGGAAAAAGTGGGAAGAATAGAATACTCGTGGAAAAATCGCTCCACTAACTCGTCGCCAGGGATAGCAAAGGAGGTAGCCGGAGCCGCGTGCTCGGTCCGAAAACAATTCAACCAACATCGACAGTCGACACAGAAACATACAAGATACTGACGCTAGAATGAATGGGTATATGTGTAACGCTAAGATGTGGATGGAAGAAATTTATCAAAACTAACTTTCGAAGAATACTACAGATATTCACTATCTTGGGTTTCAAATAATTAAAAGACCATCACAAGATCCTGCCCGCGACCTATATTCACCGGTGATAATTTAAACAGAATGGTAATCGCTCAGAAGGCACACTAGTGTCTAGCATGTCAATTTCAGTTTTCAGCTGTTTGATAAAGCTTATACGTTAAGTTGGTCAAGCGACACATGTATTTCGACTCCAGCCCCAAACCTCTTTTTTAATCTCCTTTCTCTATTTGGCGTTATCGATAAATATGGTGTAGCTAAATATTGCGCATATTGTTTTGCTTTTGTCTTACAAAATGATAGTGACGTCCATCGTGCTCGATGCGTTTTGTAGCAACTAGCATCAATCTTGCTAGATCTTTGGGGGACATATCCGGCATTTTGATGCACTGGATCGATTAGGGTCAATTGAGATAATCGTGGTAATGGTGTTGAGGCAGCTGCTTTTGAGGTCAATTCAGGAAAGGATTTCAGTTTATTTTTGCTGAAAACACAGGCTCCAGAACTACGAGCTGGTATACCCGGACGTAACATATGATTGTCTGTTTCCAGAGCGTGGATGACAGCCATCAGCAACACGGTAAGCCATCCGGATGGCATAGCGGAGTTTGTGTAATATATTCCTGCCCGGGGCCGGGATGATTCAATAAATGTCACAGAGGTTTTTTAGCGAAAACTCCGAGGGCCGTTAGGCCCGAGGTGATTTTGCTAAAAAAAGCGAGGTGACATTTATTGAATTCCCGGCCTTAGGGCTGGAAGGTGTTTCCCATACCTGCTAAAAAGCTCACAACTATATGATAGTGACGTCAGCAGCCGTGTGGTTCAACGTGTTTAACCACACCCCTTGAACCACACGGCTGGTAATATTAAAGCATTGCATTAAACTTTGAAAAGTGTGGTACAGTGCAGGTGCCGTTTAAATGCCTGGATGTCTCGATTTAACCCTCGCATGTGTAGGGGGGGTCGGATGGACCCCCCCCCCCATGGTTTTTCGCGAATAACTCGCGTAAAAAGCGGCCGATCGCGACGAAACTTTCAGTACCCTCGCATTGATCAATTTTACACCTACCCTGAAAATTTCATGACCCTGACCCAAATGACCTTTGACCTGTGACCTCTTTTCCGAGACCATGTTTGGCCGGAATCGCGATTTAGCGTATGTCGGCTCGCACTAGCCGCGCGTTTGCAAGCTTTTCGTGGTTTCAAACGTTCAAACATGTGATTTGATGTTACTCCCGTGGGTGTCAAGGTCACCTGAAGGTCAGGTCAGGTCATTGACCTTTGGTGACCTCGGGTGACCTCGGTTCACTTTTTCGAGTTTTACATGTTTCTAGGCTAGTTTTTGGAGCTGAATTCGAATTTAGCAACCATTAGAACATTTACGAAGTAGTTTTGGTGACTTCGTAACATGTTACGAAGCTGTCAGAGGTGGTTGACACGTACTACGAATACCCGTCACGACGCCTACTGGTTGACCTGACCTGACCTGACCCGACCTGGTCTAAATGCTTCAAGACATCATCTGTGATCAAAACTAACACGATATTCGTGATCAGCACCCCGAAAAACCCCTTAGCAGCCACACTTTACGACTTTCTAACAGGTCCCGATTTTCCCGACTTTGGGTCATTGACCTGACCTGGAAGGTCAACCAATGACCTAGGACCCTAAAATTGGGTATCATCGGCTTCCTCTCGTCACGGGCAACACGCTCGTTTTTTCCGCGAAGCTCTAGCTCGATCAGGGGCCAAACGGCAAGGGGGGTCCAACCGACCCCCCCCCCCCCCCCTACACATTAGAAGCTGGAAAACGCCGCACACATGCGAGGGTTAATCATGCAATGTAGCAGGTATGGGAAAGGATATAACCGAATGGGCAGTTGTAAACCCGCGTGTAATGCTGGGTATGAACTGCTGCGAATGACGTAACCGACCCTCCGACCGATCTTTACCGTACGGAGGACCCATTTGATCAATCTAAGTGTAAGCATTTAGCACACCGTAAATGATAAACGCCATTTTACGGTCTCAATCATCACCGAAATGCTTGTGTTCAGCTTCAGCACGCGAGATAGGTATGTACATTGCTTGTAAAATTGCTAACCGTCGGTGAGCGCAATCAAATTCGTTCAGTTTCAAAATGCGTCCGTGCCTCAGGTGTTAAATCTATTTTGCTTACGCGTGGATGTGTTACCATGAATTTCCCTGTATATCGCGCTCGCAGAGCGTTCGGGGGACGACCCGATAAAGCAGTCTGCTGTTGAAGCTGCCGTCAGTGTTTGGGGACGTGACAATCTGACGGAGCATTGTGGTCTTTTGCAGCTGCCGGCGCCGCCCAGTCCAGTAGCGGCTGAGGTCTGCTGCCCACGAGCGTTCTCCCTGCCCGGCCACGTCACCAACAGCCTCGACGCACAGTGCGCCGACAAACGAGGTGCGTTCACGCCATTTCGCAGTCTCATTGAAAATGAACGCTCATTGAGATGGCACTTTTAATGGAGCCCGTTCATGAATTTTGTGAGGCTAGGACCTTTCGGTCTATTGAAAGATAAACTGGACCGAGGGATGGGAGGATAAGGGAAATACGTTATGTCTGAATCGAACACCGGCCGGTGCGTCGCAGCGGCTGAGCTCGGCACTTTCCATTTGGACGGGAGACGAGAGTGTCCGGTGGGACAGACCCGACAGCCACTCATCGCTTACCCCAGAGGGACATGCTCCAATGCGCAGTTGCTTGGGCTGTGTGACTGCTGGCTCGTAACAGCGAATCGTGATCATTTGATCAGGGATGAGGATGGGTTGGTTCTGAGTATAAATAGGACGGATGAAGGGAGTCTGGGACAGCCTGCGTGCCCTGCGATGTTACTTTACGTTACATACCTACTTGCGACTTTGTTATATAGAAATTAGAATCTATGCAACGCATAGGCATTTCTGTCCTTGGATTCTTCAGCCAGTAGTGTAGCGTAGCCAAAGTTTTTTTTTTACATGCCATTACGGAGCGTAGTTTGGTGTGGCCGTTGGGCTCATCCTCTGAGGTCCGCCGCCAGCGACGCTACCGCCGCGTCGGTCTCGACGACCAACGTCGGCTGCTCAGCTTCGGCGCTCACAGCACAGATGGCGTTCTCGGCCGGCGAGTCGTTATTGAGCACGACGAACTGGCCATCCAGCCGTCGCCTGCACTTAGCCCTGAGCTGCACACTTGGTCCCGAATCAGGATTAGCAAAACGTTGGAGAGAAACAGGCTTTTGGCCTCTGATGGAGAGAAGCTGTCAACACGTAGGGTTTACTGTCAGCAAAACACGCTCCACATTAGTGTGCCTGTTACGCGCCGGATAATCCTATAACTCCCACGCCTTGCATCTCTCGCTGCAGGGACTGGCGAGGGCCGGCGCAGTCTGGAGGACCTGTGCTCGGGCCTAATGCTGGCCGGGGCCGTCAACGAGTGGTGTCACGGCCTGGGCTGGGGCTGCGCCCAGGGCTGGGGAGGGCCGGCCTCCGCCTTCGACACCGGCTACTACTACAGCGACGCCGTCGGAGCAGACGCCGACTACGACTACGAGGCAGACTTTGGCGACTTTGGTGGCGACTTTGGCGGGTTCTAGGCGGACTTTGGAGAAGTCACTGATACAACACTGGGACTTGGTCCCAAACTGTAGCTTTAAATTAGATTGTTGTTGGATACCTTATGTGTCATCCTCGAGTTGTGTGGATGCACAAGTCGGTGTTACTAATGCGTGTTGACTGATACTATGTGTTGCCTCCAAGAGAGGCTGATACGTGTTGTGGAGCGGCTTTGTGCCGCTAATGTGCTCAGCTTGTGATCCATAGGACCGCACCTTACATTGTCTATGCACGAGTGTGCTCATTGTCAAACGTTTGACAATCGGGAAAACGGCGGATGACACAAATAACCCCTGCTCTCTCGGTTTTCTCTTCTCTCCCTCTCCTATTCCAACTTTCTCGTTCTTCATAGGATGAGCTCAGGAGATGATTCTCAGTAATCCCAAACCCACTCTTGCTTTCTTTCTCTAGCTCTTCTCATGCTGAGCTCCCTTAGTGTCCCCTGAGTAAGGCATGGCCCTCGTTTATCCCAAACCCCCACCAACAGAGGGTGTGCGGCCTCCTGCTGAGTCGATCAGGGTCCCTTTGTTACTGCCCCGGCAGGAAGCTGCCATATAGATGTGATGTTGCATCTCCCAGCGGGAAGAGCGCGCCTCGAAAAACGACGGCACTGAATTGTCTCAATTCGGTGACACGATGCAGTACAGTCGCTGTTTTCCGGCATAGCACAATACGTGCACGATGTTACACATAGGTATGTTTTACTAGAAAGCAGGGATGGGCTTAGGCAGAGCACCAGAAGTTGGTTAGCATCAGCAGTGGCTTTGTTAGGCATTGTGACGCTATCTTTGAAACGTGTTGACGCATAAGCGAATCATGATCAAGATGGAGATGGGACAGTGTATGCTACTTTTGAGGATTATATTTCGGTAGTCCTCGCACAACGAAAGCTTCGCATGTCATGCAACGCGTCCACCAAGAGCGGGTCTACGCACGTTCGTATGTATGTAAGTACGTGTGATGCGCGATTGTAGTTGGCGACAGGGGTGTAAAATTAAGGATATTGTGCATAAGCACCCCTACACTGCCAAAGCGCCCTTTTAAGTAAACCAAAATCCATATGAAAAGCTCACATTAAGATATTGTACTTCATGCCTGTTACCTTGAGCACAATGTAACGCTGCCCAATGTTTTCATTACTTCCCACTCTTGTTTAGCATTGTTGTGACTTGTGACACTTCTGCAGTTAGTTATGCCCGGGGCACTAGAGTCGCTATGCACTGGTGTGCCCTTTGTGGGGCACGGCTCAGCTCTGCGGTAGCGCCTGGCCCTGCGCGGCTCCGCACTCCGCCACTGTGTGGCCCGGCGTCGCGAGACCGTCGGTGACCCGACACCCGACTTCTGCTGTAACCGACTGCGGCGTGGCAGCTCTGCGCCCGTGCCGAGAGCGGCGGCCCTGAGCTTAGTGTGCTGCTCCCCCGAGCGATACGTCAGCAACTCCTGGTCCCTGGTCGGCATCCGACCATGTTGTAGACTTCCGTGAATGTCTTAGAGGTTATGGGCGTGATGCTATGCCTGTTCGACGCGGACTTGTAGGGTGTTTGCCTCTGCTCAGCTCTGACGCTGAATGTTTTGCTTTCTATTCTATTCGAACTTCGGACTGAGATAGCAGCACTACTGATGGCTGATGCATAAATTAAGCATTCAGTAAGCTTCACTTCACAAGCTGTGAATAATTTTGACCCATGAAATTTTACTGTGTACCTGTGCCACATGTACCCTTACAATGGTAGTTCAGGTAAATAATGATTGCGGCTGTTCAGTTGCCTGAGTTAACCAAGCAATTGATACATAAATTGATTTAGTTTTACAACTTTAATTTGTAATGTTTTGAATTTTTCGTTGCATTAAAAAATGTAACAAATAGCGGAGCAAAAAGTGAGGCAGTAGCCGTTTTCACGACGGGCTATCCGGCGAATGCACCTAATTTGACCAAATATGCACCTAATCTCTTTTACAGCAAATATCTTCATTTTATGAATTTATTTCAGTGTTTTAATCGATGATGCTCTCTGATAATATGACAAAGCAATTAATGCAAACCTAGCTGATAGCTACCTACTAAGAAACACACTGAACCTAATTTGAACAAATCTGCACCTAATCTGCACCAGATGTGCACCAAATGTGTACCAGATGGCCGTCGTGAAAACGGCTGATAATGCGAAAAAAAAACGTTGGGCGTCACTACTTACCTAACAACCTGTCTGATCTGAGCGGCGTTTGTGTGGTTTCTGCGTGTGGATGATCAGGGTCAGGGACATAGTGGACCTTTTACATCCCGAAAAAGGGCGGTAGGTTACCTGCTCTTGATGCACTCACGATGTAACTTGCACTTGTAAGTTAAATGCCAAAGAAGATGCGCGTGCAAAAGGCAGTTGTCCTGCAATGGATGTATTGTGTTGGTAAGACGCATATGCGTAGTTGCATCAAAATAAAGTTTAGATATGTGTGAATTTTGCGAGTTTTGTCAAGTGTGGTCCAGTGCTTTAACCCCTCGGGCCAAGGCTATATAAACCAGGTAGAACGCTCCCGACGAAAAAGTGGTGACAAGCGATAATTAGTAGCCGCGACCCTCACTTGTTCAAGACTATATCCGCAAGCAGCATTTGCAGGCTAGCCCGCGCCCTGCTGGGGGGGGGGGTGTTTGAACACCCCCCCTTGTGGTTTTTCGCGAATATCTCAAAAACGGCGGCGCGGAGCGCCGCCGTTTTTGGTACACCTTATCATACATCAATTCTACACATGTTGTGAAAATTTCAGACCAAGGTCATTCAAGGTCAGGTCACCAGGTCACTTGAAGTGACCTCACCTCATAAAAAGTTTCCATGTCTGTCATAGCTATACCGAGTGACCGATCGCTTTGAAACTTTCAGCGATTGCTAAAAGCAATAGCATGTACAAAATGTATATCTCAGAATTTTGATATCGATGACCTAAGGTCAGGTCAATTTTGCGACCTCCCCATTATAAATCAATGGGAGAAAATTGAAATGCGCCTCTTTTGGACGAAAGACATTATAAACACTCCTAAACACTGAATTACAAGTGGTTTAGACACACTGAACATGAAAATGGTGTCCGTGACCCTTGTTTATGCCCTGAGGTCATCTTAGGTCACGAATGGTATCTAACGGTTTCTTGCAAATAACTTTTGATAGAGGCATGCTAGAGCGATTAAAACGCCTTAGATGTGTTCACCTCGACGATACGGATCGACTGATATGCAACATGACCCTTTCCGGTCAGGTCATGACCTTGACCTGAGGTCAAATTTTCAAGTTGACCTTTCAAGGTCAAGTTATAGTTCATTCGATGCGTCTTGACGAGAGGAACACGATGCCGGTAAAAGTAAGCTCGTACAAGGCTTGGGTCAAAAGTTATTGCAGAAAAATTGTTTCCGAAAAAAAAATCGGCTATTTTTGCAGTTTTTGCCCCCTGCAGGCAAAACCGTTGACGTTAGGTCAAATCTAAGAAAATATTCCAGAAAGGGCGTTAATAGGACTATCGAATGCGCTTTTCCGCGGCGCTATAGCTTTATTGGTTCCCGAGTTATGAGTTGGCTTCTTGGAAATTGTCGACATTCGACCTGGAAATCGGCGAAATTTTGCCTTCAATGACCTCTGGTGACCTGACCTTTGACCTGACCAAAAAATTGACCGAAGTGATTTCCTCATTATTTTTGACGCTCTTTCGAACGCCGCCTTCCGCATATCGCTACGTGGCCCAGGAGCCGAGTTAGAAGGGGGGGGTGTTCAAACACCCCCCCCCCCCCCAGCAGGGCGTGGAAATCCAGGACCCCCAGCCGGGCGCGGGCTAGCGGAAATCGACCAATCGGCGTTCGGCAATGCTCAACGCTGATTGGCCCGATGCTCGTGACGAAATTGCGGGGGACTGCAGCTATTCCCCTATGACGTTTAATAGTGTTATGACTTTTGAAGGGGATTTATATCAGTTTCTGTTGGGTTTGAGGCCATTTTTGACCTTGGATATTCTTTCCGTGACTTTTGACTGTGTAATAACGACATTTAATCATAACATTTCTATATACTACCGGTGTCATATCGGCCAAAAAGACCGTAAGTACATGGGATAGACGGACCACTGCTGATGGGGCCACACATGCCGGCGTGTGGTCATTGGAGGCCCATGAGGCCTCGACATAGGCCCTTCATGGGTCGGTAAAGGCCCGGTGGGTCCAGTGCAGGCCTATCAGGGGCCGGTGCTGACCCAACAGGGCTCAGTGGCATATAAGGTAAGACTGTCTAGGGACATTGCTCGGGGTTACATGAGCAGAATTAATACGCATTACAAACGGACTACAATGGTGAGCGAATAGGAAAATCCGTTCCTGATATGCATTTACTTGCTCATGTAACCCCGGTAATTGAGGGCTCATGTGGGCCATATAGGACCATTAGGGACCACATAAGCCAATCAGGGGTACATTTAGGCCAATAAAGGCACTTCAGGGGACTTGAAAAGGCCATTCAAGAGCCGTGGTGGGCCCATGAGGGGACGGCATTGGTCCAGCAGGTGCAGTCAGGGGATGTTGTACGGGTTTCTCAGTGACCCATTTTGGCATATCAGTGACCAATTTAGACCCAGCAGGGGGCTTTGTAGACCTATCAGGGGCTGGTGATGATTCATCAGGGACCAGCGTTAGTCCATCGGGGCACGGCATATGTCTATCAGAGGGAATTGCGGGCCCACGCTGAACAATGATGGCCCTTCAACGGCCCCTAATGGATCTACATTGACCCATAGGCCATGATATGATGATGTGTCATGTATGCCCCTATGACAGGCCTACTCAGACCCCTGATGGACGTTCCCGGCCTCTGATGACCCTATTCTGAATCCTGATGTGGCTCTAAGAGTCTCCAATAACCCTTCGTCAACCCATTATTACCATACGCTGGCACCAGGGGCCCCACATCAGCCACAGGGCAGTCCGTGCCATGACAGCATGTCTTTTCGGTCGATATTACATCGGTAATATTTATTAAAAATCATGATTTCATGGTGCCATTATATAGCTAACAATCACAAGAAATAAATTTCAACTCGAAAACAGCTCGAAACAGCATATACTCTTAAAGAAACATCTCCGAAATCCAAAAGCCTATTCGGATCCATAGAGAATAACTGCGGTCCCCCGCAATTTCGTCACGAGCACCGGGCCAATCAGCGTCGAGTACTGCCGAGCGCTGATTGGTGGATTTTCCGCTAGCGTGTAAGTACTGCTCGCGGAACAAGAGTTCGTCGACAATCCTCCACAAACGTCTGTCACCACTTTTCGTAATGCTAAACAGCCGGAGCGTACCCCCCTGCCTCGGGCACTGTCCGAGACGCGTATTTACAAATTGCAACCGAGCTCCGCCGTGGGGTAAGGTGGGCAGGGGTTTTCGCACTACGGCTGCGGTTGAACTACCGTCTGTGGTAGAAACTTCAGGACGATGGCGCGTTTCATACGAAATCTGGCGCAATGTTTGTTTGCTTCTGTACTTGTACTGTTATTTGCTGTGAATTCTTGAAGTGGGAGTGTTTCGATAACAATATGTGGATTTTTTGAGTTTCTTTATATAAACATAATACTGATATGATCAATTACTTAGTTTGGGAATTGATACACATTTTGTAGAGATTTGTTTGGCAAATGGTGTAACAAACCTCAAGCCTATCATGATCTGAAGCTGTTATAACAAATCAAAATTGCTTCAATGTTACCTTGTACCTTGTTGGAAAGACTGGAGCATGGTTCAAGATGATGCGTAAAAATTCAAGATTTGTGCGAAAGTTTATGACTGAAGAACGAAAACAGTTCGACATGATGGCTCAATCAAACGTGGAAATGGACGACAAAAGTAGAGTTTCAACATTCCAGCATGTGAGAATAACTTCAGAAATTCAAAGTTCTTGTAGTATTGCATTCTTCTTATGTACAGTTATAGGTTTTGTTAGGGTATTTCAAATTCATTGTGTCAGTTGACTGTTGAGACATAGATGGATTGCGGATTTTTTTTTTTAAATCATTGTATGGTAGCTAGGTACTTGTTCGGTAAAAAAGGTTGTGATGAATTCCATGAGAAGGTTTTTTATGATTAAATATATGGTCGTTGTTGTACCTACAAAAATGCAAGCTTACTAGCAACTAGTTTCTGAATCAAATCGAAAGTATTTGGCATGAATGTAAATATGTACCTGCAAAGTATGTCAATAAATTTGTGTGATGTTGACCAGAGAGTTTTATCATCTGGGCATTTATGTCGCTTCCTACATTAGGTGTTAAGCATAGTAATTACGGTTGAACTTTGTGCCAATATCTTCAATGCACATTGCACAATGTATGTAGCATGTCTACAACCCTCACTGATCCTGCTATAGCTATAGGCATTTGGCACCAGATTGACCAAGGGCATGAACTTCACAGTTGCACAACCTTTTGTTTTGTCATGTACCACCAGTCACTTTTTTGTGCACCAGTCACTTTTTTGTGCACATAGCAGTGCACACAACAATGTGCAGAGGGCCTACACAAAAACAACATGATTAGTGTGCACTATGCACAGCATTGTACCCTGATTATTTGAATATTTTGACCACTCAACAGTCAACAGTCAGGAGATAATTATTTAATATCACATTTATTATACATCACTTGTCAAATAATAGCATGATGACACACATTTTGACAAGCAATCATGGTAGTATTCCAATAAGTTGGACAGTCACCTCCCTGGGCGTCATTTTTCCGGGAAGGTACCTCTGCAGTCTGCAGTGTTGTGGTAGACTAGGATGAATTGGGTTAAGTTAGGCGAAGTTAGGTGGTTAGGACCAGGTCAGACCGTAAGGCCTGGTCAGGTTGATTTTAATCTTTCATTCTAATTTGACATAGATACCTATTTCCTATGTTTTTGCTGCAGCCTGAATTTTATT